CTGCCATGCTACCCGAAGGTTGCACTAGGGCTGGGATACTGCTAGGTTGCCCAAGTCTAGACAGGGGAAGTCGAGAGGCATAGGTCGGGTTCGAACCATGGACTTTCCGGTCAGTAAATTTGCGCTCCAACCACTTGGGCCATCTCGCCCCCAGTATGATTTCACATCTGAAGGTGGAACATTTGGAAGACTCTAGGAGGCGATTCTAGGAATTTCGTCTAACATTCGGATTTATCAGTCTCAGTTGCCAAGCGATTTATCCGAACCTTACGTGGCCCTAGAAAACGTCGGGAGAAACGACCCCGGAGAAGTGCGTGGTCGTAATCTACAAATGTGTTCCAAAACGACTAGCAGTCAGCCACTGATCCGCGCCATCGGTAACTCATGGCAATGTGACTGATTTGAGTTTGTGGTCGGCATGCCGTTGGAGGACACCATGTGACAAGACAAATCCGGCTATTTCAGAAGTTAATGCTGCATAAAAACAGCCTGTTGTCAGAACAACACTGGAGCAATTGTTCACCAGTGTCTCTACATACCGAGTCCAAACCATATCGACCTCCTAAATGAGTCTCAGATACGCTAAGCCTTCCAACTCGTGCAATCAAATCTCCGGCAACAACCACAATATCTGAGCTTTTAGCTCGCCGCAACAGAGCATTCAGGGCATCTTAGAACCTGCCTTTGACGGCGTCGGGGCTAAAATCGGTTGTTGCGTAAGCAGATACGTAGCTGGAGGCGAGTGGAGACTGACGTGGCAGTTAGCTCAATCACTGTGCTCGCTCTTGAGACACAGTAGACATCAAAGCCAGGCGAGTCCAGTGTGAGAGACCTGTTGTCCTGCCCGCTTCAGAGTGTGGACATTGAAGGCGATCTGATAGACTGAGTACCGAGGCTTGATGATTGATTTGCAGATACCTGACGATGTCAGCGCCATGTGACGAGCAGATGTTGCACGCGAAATCGATGCAAGACGATCGGCGTCATCAGTCCTATATGCTGGACCAACAAGGAGAGTTAGTAATGGGATGGGGAGGGGGGAAGAAAAAGTATGTGAAAGAGAAAGAAGGGAGGCATCGGCAGTAGGCTGTTTTCGCTTGCCCGCCCTGCTGTATGCAGCAAGTAAGGCGACCCGGCCGATGGGGAGTGAAAGTATTTTTAGTTGTAAGTATCATGGTTGCAAATGGGCTGGGATACTGTCAGGGCGTCCACATCTAGACAGGGGGACGATTAGGGTCCTCAACCAAAGCCTTTGGCTCAAAAGCCTAACCGCAAGGCAGCGATGTTTAGCGGGAAATGCAAATGCATTACCGTTTCTATGGAACAAGTCGCCACATGTTCCAACCCCCAACCTGGAGAGCCAGGTGACTGTGTTTGTCAGACCTCTAATAATTGACCAACCAGGTACCAAACTCTGTGAGTATCATGGGGACACCTCCCAGTATAGCTCAATGGATTGCTGAGATGCGCCAACCGTCACACCACGGTAAGGTCTAGTATCTTCCTGACAGTGGGAAACTGTTCACAGAGCCACAGCTCATAAAGAAAACTAAATGTTTCTCTTGACATAAATGAGGAAGGCGAATGGGGTAAGGCCCGATGATGCATTAAGGCATTGTTTTGGAAACGCCTTGCACTTAGGCATCTGAAAGGTTTACACAGTACGCCGCTGATCTTACTTCCAACTTCGTGACCTACATTTGTTAGCTAAAACAAAAGAAGTAAAAGATCCATGGCTTTTTGATAGACAAATGGCTATTCAGAAATTGTCACATCGCCTTACAGCTTCTCTCCGAAGAACATTCGGTGAAACACACCCAGATGTTGATCTCCCAACTACCAACCAGCTCAGCACAAATTTGAAAGACATACCTCTAGTCTAGGACCCTTCAACGTTCGTCTGTCTCCTTATGTGTGATTGCTTAACAACTTAGCGCCTAGCCCAGAGGATGACTGAGAATTTGCATTTTTGCATTGGAACCGCAGAAGCTAAATACGTGATCAGTGCAACTACAGACCACCTGATCCATGCGAACCAACAAGTAAACCCAGCTTAATCGTTTAACATATTTAATGAGTGTCGCCTGATCGTATGAAGATCTTCCGTAAAAACGCATTCGAAACGGCAGGAACGACTGTAAACAGGTCGCACCAACCATCATTCTTTCATCACCGAGGCATGATATTCCGCAAAGAATTCAAGCAACCCGAATATTGACATCAAACCCGTCTGCTCACCGCTGTGACCAAGGGACCACCGAGTCAATCGGAACACTGAGTGAGCCGAGGCAATCGGAACACTGAGTGAGATCCGGTCATTAAACAACGAACTGTTGAACAAGAAACTTACGGAGGCAACTCGTAGTATGCACGCTGTGAAAGCACTAGGGGACAGTGCTTCTCCAACAGCAGGGGCTCACGTCAACTTCTGTGGATGGAGAACAGAAAGAAAGCATACGAGGCAAAACCCAGTAGGTAAGGTTGTATATCACCAATACTTGCGAGTAATTCAACCAAAACGGAAGACAGTGGATACTACATTGTTCCTTATTTTGAAGAACACCGTCCCTGGTGGACCATGGCCTACGTGAACCGGCCGGTGCTTACAGTGTGATGCATAAGACTGGTGAGCCTGTGCAGAGGCTGCTGTGTCGGGCTGCTTCAGCCGTATGTGATTGAGCAACGTGTTAGCCCTGAGGCCTGTATGCACATGTTTAGAGCCACAGTCTTTGTGGTAGGTCCATCAGTGTGTGGCCAACATCCTAGCATGCATATGCATGCTATGGAAGCGCTAGGGGACAGTGATTCTCCGAAGACAATGGTTCATGAAAACAGAAATAAACCTCATGAGCCGAAGCCCAGTAAGCAAAGTTGTACATCACCAAGGCTTACATTTAGATCAACCAAAACGGCACAAACTGTATACCAGAAAACCGACAATCTTTCGTATGCGGAGACCTGGACTATGAATCTCAAGGCCACCCAGCCATCCACCAATCTGGAGACAGGCCAGCGAACGAGCATTCCAAAGATGCTTGTTGGGATGGGTATACCCTATAGTACCCAAAGCGTGCAACAGTTCTCACATTTTCAACCACTCCTTCTCAGACAGACCATTATGATGACACTCCACTGATGCCGCACTGTATGCAACCAGGTTAAACAAACAAGTTGACGGCCATCATTGTGTCACAGGCTATCAACTTTCTCTCCAATCTGTTTGAAAGTTAAGCCTATTTAAAATCAATAAACCGCTCCTATTGGTGCTAAATTCCTTACAAGCTAATTCACGTGCCTAATAATGGACCTCAAAACGGGAGCTCTTTGAAAAACCACGCGAAGTACGTTCGGAATCGGTTTCGTTTTTCCCTCGTGCAAATTTGTGAAAGAATTTTTTCGTTGTTCAATCTATTTACAGAGTAGACACGGGTGATTGGTGAATTTTATTACTCTAGCAAAACGTTTGAGATAAAACCCTTGTTATTTTACGCACACTTCCTATTTTGCATCTCGTCCTAAACATGACATCAACTTATACCGATTGCTCTCTGCAGTCATCGATAGACCACAACAGATGTGGGCGAAACGGCCGCCCGTCGAACCTCAAACGCGATATGCAATGCTACACCTGCAAGGCCTGGTGGCACTTCAAATGCACTGGTTTACAGGACGACCAGATAAGCCGATTAGCTAACTCTCATGACCCGTTTGTCTGCGCCAGCTGCCTCTACGTTAAGGGTGCAATGCATACCGCAGCAAAGAGATCCCCCAAAAACGGTACCTATTCCCCACTGCTGATTCAGAAAGACCGATGCGAGTGTTCCGCTCTGATCAGAATACTCGACCCGAAATTGGAGCGTCTTTCTAAGGCGTTGGAGGATTCGGATACAAATAATGCAGCGACTTGGGCGAAAGTTGATGAGGAAGTTTCTTCGCTGAACTGCTACCTCGCGCCATCTATCCAGAATCCTCTGGCTGCGAAGAAAGTAATAAAACTCTCTGACGCAGATATAAAGACCGCCACAGCGTCTCTAGTCTACAGGCGCTTAAGGGAGAGCAGATTGGTAATCTGGGGGTTATTCTCCGGAAAAATCACGCCAGCAAGGCTAGCACAATCGATCCTTAGCAGTGTCCTCACCAAGCTTGATCAATCGCTCCGCGCAGAATGGTTAGTCAGAAGGGAAGCAAGCGAATTCTTGGACTTCTAGTCACTATTTTCTCCCCACCTGCCGTACAGATCTTGGAGCGGGCTGGCAGCATTCAAAAGATCAACCCAATGATCAGGCGTCTATCCGAGGATCGTCCTCGAGACACACGAAAGCTTGGCCACAGCAGTTTAGGGATGGAGCTCCAGGGCTCAGAGGATGGAGCACCTGGAGGGTGCTCAGCGGGAGCCTGAGCACCAATTCAGCCGGCCCCAAACTCATGACCAAGCCGATTGTGGTCATATCCCTCTGTGCTCCCGAAAGCAGGCAGACAAAACCAGCTGCGTCCCCGGACAGCAGTTTTTATTTGACCACCACAGGCCTCTCGCCCACCAAAGGCAGTGATAAGCTAGAGGAGGCAAAACTCACATGCGAATAGTGCCCAAAGCACATGGAGCTATGAACGCTTACCTCATTACAGACGACATAGGTACAGCCATGCACTCTTCAACAAAGCCACAACCTCTGAACTGGACTGAGTTAGATGTGTGGGGCAAAGTAGTGAAGCCAACCTCCAGCCCCACTCCGTCAAAAGCGGCCTCTCTGTTTGTGGACACAAACGTCGCCCAGGACCCTGGCAACCAAAGCCATAAACCTGACTACAGCCAACCGGAAAATCCCTCGTGCATCCAGTTGGCCACGCTGATCGGCGGCGGATCGGCGATCAGCAAACCGAGCTCCCACGGAACGGAAAAACCTCGCAAGCGAAAAGCACCCCCAGAAACCACGAAGATAGGAAGCAGACGACAACGCCCCAGAGGCCCCTTTGGAGGCTTGAACTCAAAACCGGTGCACAACTATTAAGTCACCTAACCACCCTGGTCGCTCAGCTTTCGGCTCTTCACCCTCGGAGGCAGCAGAAACAGTGTTAAAATGCTTGTCCACAAACCTCCTCAGCCTTTTCAACAAAATCGGCGATGTTAGACAGTCAGCTGCCCTGAACAACCGCACTCGCAGAGACCTGGCTCACCCTAGATGTCACTGACGCGGAGATCTCGATAGACGGTTACTCTATTTTTCGAGCTGAATCAGGACGAGAAAGGGCTGGTGGGGTTGCTCTGTACATACATGCGGTCCTGTCAACCCCGATTGTCCTCTCTGACACCACTCCTGCACCCTTTTGCGATGCACTGTGGGTCGAAATCCCGCTGCGCGGGTCCGATTCCTTCCTACTCTCTGTGGTCTACCGTAGCCCCTCGAGCCTCACTCAAGATGACCTATACCTCATACAAATCCTTGAGCACCTCCCCTCCAACTACCACTTCACTTATCTCCTCCTGGTAGGTGACTTCAACGCCCCCAAAGGCCTCCCGGATTGAGCTTCGGCGCGTCGAATCAGGCGGACTTTTTGCAGCGGCGCTGACTGAAGTCGTTCAACAGAGCGCTTGGACTCAGCATGTCGTTGCACGTACCAGATACCGTGCAAGCCTTGTCAAGGCGTAACCACGAACAGCCTCTAACCGACTTGGTCTTGACGGTGGAGGACATTCGTGAACTCTTGAACAAGATCAACCAATTCTGCGCGTTGGGGCCCGACGAGATCCATCCAAGGATCCTAAAGGAAACGTCATCCACACTGGGAAATAATTTACACCTGGTCTTTTGTCAGTCGCTTGACGAAGGCAGCTTTCCCTCTGCTTTTTCATTTGTGCCTTTCAGGTGAACGAAAGCCTCTGACCGACAAGAACAAGACCGACCCGGGAAACTTGAACAAAAGCTTCGATCCTGTGCATCAATCCGGGAATCCGTGAATCCGTGAAAGCCCAGCCTCGGAACCATCAGCGACGATCTAGCTATGAGTGCTAATGGAGAGATGGAGGACATACGAACGCTATTAGACCCACCGTAACACTTCGACACTCCCGGCAAGGTGTATCCGACCGCAACAGGCAAGCATTATTCCTCTTTCATGCCAATAAATATACGAGGTAGAGAGCCATTTAGCCGCCCGAATAGTAGCTTGGGCAGGAATAACAGACCCCATACGTGAGGTATTCTATTCGATCGGCGAAAAATGGGGTGAGAAAACGTCTTTTGGTTTAAACAACACGACATTAAACGAGAGCATCCGAGACGACTGATGGTGTTTGGCCTCCCCGAATCGTGTTCATCACTTACTGTCAACAACGGTATCCATGATGTAATTTCGTCCTGAAATCGCTTATATGATTTCTGATTCAGAGTCTGGGGCTGTCGATAAGGCACTCAGTTGTTCTTAGATAGTGGGAAGGAAGATGGTTCTTGCCGGTGGCTCAAAAAGTGGTGCTCACAAGACTTGAATGTCCACAACAATAAGGGTGTTGTGTCTTGCTGAACGGTAGCGCAACTCCTTGTCGAGCTCTTGACCTCCTGTTCCGCCCACTATGGTGTATCAAAATGCACGGTAGCTCTACACAGCCCTTTAAGGAAACAGGAAGATTATTGCAACTGTATTTATAGGGTAATCACGGTGTTCAACAAGGTCGTGCTAGAATCCCCGTGAAGGGGCGAGAAGCGTCGAGTCAAAGATGCTCGATCCAGATTGGCCGGCATTCTGACCAATCAGGACGTGAGTTCGTTTGGTCCATGTCCTGCACGTGACACATCCGTTCGAGTGATGAGATGTTCGGTTGTTAGGGGCGGCCGGCCTCCGGACAAAGCAGTTGTTGGCCTCAAATCCGTGAACTGCGATACCCGTCTGGCGATGCTTGATTACTGTCCCCTGGAGTACCGTCGCCTCCGAGGAGACCCTCTTGCCCTCACTCTTGCCCTGTTTGAACGAAGCTTGGCGAGCAGGTTTTCCGTTGATCCAGCAAACACACGGCGGGGACATGTATTCAAGCTCTCAGCGCAAACATTCATTAGGTAATTTTTTCTCATTTCGGGTAGTAACTTCGTGGAATGACCTTCCACCGACGGTTGTCCACGCCCTTTCCAGAGTCCAGTTCAAGGCACCATTAGACAAGCATTCTGGCAAGCATACCGCCCCGCGCTGAGAACAATAAGAGCAGTGCTACAGTCTTTTTTCGCCTGTGCATTTCAGATAAACGACAGCCGCTGAACGACAGGAACAAGACCAACCCGGGAAACCTGTGCAAATTACTCAATCTTATGTATCAATCGGTGAATCATTGGTCAATCAGGACACGCCTCCGCTTCGTCAGTATCCCGCACGTGACACATCCGTCCTGCTGACATGCTCGTCTGTTATTATGACCGGCTGGCCTCCTGAGAGAGAACCTTAAGCAACCCTGCATGATGGATCCACTTAACCGATATTTTCTCCAATTTCTGCGTTGAATAGTGCATTGAACAATCTGTTTGGTTCATCGTTGAGGCACATAACCACTGGCGGCAAGGAAAAGTAAGATAATAAAATGGACCTGCTAGGTAGGATAGGCAAATTTCTAGCATACGTTGATTTGGTTGTTGATACGGCCTCGTCCTTGTGCTTCTTTTGGTACAGGGAATATCTCCAAACACCGGGGACGGTTACCCTCCGATCCAGTAGACGTTTCCCAACTTTACCTAGAGCTGCGACCAATACTTTCGTGTCTCATGCCGGCGTTATTTCCAGTTTTGTTGGCTCGTGGACAATGCCCCCATACATGCACGCTCTGCGAATGTTTTCGACGTAAATCAGTGATGCCTAAAGAGCCGTTCGGCAGGGGTGTATAACCGTACAGTCGTTAAGGAGGTAAACATTGTGCCAGTACTGGAGAAAACAACGAAAACACCTCTGTGAGGTTGTAGTAATAACATCAGTTGCCTTTCCTCAATACTAGCGAAGACCGCATTTTCCGTGGGCCATTTAGTGTGTGTTAGACCCGTTGCTACTATACACATACTGGTCCCTTCAATTGGTTTTATCGATACCAGATGGCGGAGGCAGTCTCAGTCGAAAAACTTTAGGCGGTGTGCATCTTCCTCGTCTAAAAGCTGAGTTGTTCAATCATGAGGCTCATATTGCAAAGGCATTCTACATCGTATTCGATGGCGAGTCCCACCTCTTGGGTGCCACAGCTGACGAAGTGCATCAAACGCAGACCGCTCTGTTCCTGTTGCACGAACTACTTCCGCTGAAACATGGCAGCAGAAATGTCGACCTTGCTGACAGTCTCGATATTGTGTCTTCCTAAACTGTAGTGCAAATCTGTATCGGTCTCTTGGCTTCCTGCTCCGCCCACTATGGTATATCAAAATGCACGGTAGCTCTACACAGCCCTTTATGGAAAAAAGGAGAACTATTACAACTGTATTTATAGGGTAGTTACAGATTGTTCCACAATGCCGTGGCAGGATCTCCGTGAGGGGGCGAGAAGCGTCGAATCAAAGATGCTCGCTCCGGATTGGCTGGTATTCCGACCAATCAGAGCACGCCTTATTTTGGTCCATGTCGTGCGTGTGGTATCCGTTCGAATGGTGGTGTTCGGTTATTAGTGACGGCTGGCCTCCATACACTCGGGGAGACCACCCACGGTGTGGAGCATTGGAAAGTTCAACACCCATTTTCCAAAGAATATCACCATTACCACAACTTTTCGATTTCCCATTTTTGTGACCTGTGAGGAGTTCATGAACTGCTCCGTAGGATTTTAATAACAAATAGAACCTTTATTTGGTTTATATGCACTGCTACGGCGTCTTCGAGTGTTTGTTCCAGTCGCATCCCGTCTTTGCGTAAGGTGTAACGTTTTTTTAAATACAATCCCCGGCGATTTACACGGTCTCTGCATGCATGTGATGAGTGTTGTTGACACCAACCAGTGATACCTAAAGCGCCATTCACCGACTGTGTATAACTATGCAGTAAAAATGAGGCATTTATCGCACAGGTTGTATGGGACGAACTAACGAAAAAATTTCGGAGGTTGTGGTAACAGCACCAGCCTTTTCCAAACACGACTTTTCCATTTTAGGGCGCAAAACATCCTAGAAAGACCTCTTTCATTAAGGATTCAGTACTGTTTAAATCACAAACCCTCACTCTACTCCTCCATGTAGATGTAGCTTCTCTATTTCCGTTTTGTATCTATTACCATGGCATTATGCTTTTCTGTGATAGTCTCTACCGCCTACCCCACTCAAGGGGTTCAAGGGACGAGATGGCTCAAGTTGTTGGAGCGCGAATTTACTGACCGCAAGCCTCATGATTCGAGCCCTACCTCTATGTCTCGATTTTCCCTGTCTAGGCTTGGACACCCTGACAGTAGCCCATCCATCAAGATGGCCCAAGTGGTTAGAGCGAGAATTTACTGACCGGAAGGTCCGGTGGTTCGAATCCGACCCCTGCCACTCGACTTCCCCTGTCTAAGCTTGGGCAACCTGGCAGTATCCCAGCCCTTGTGCTTCCTTCGGGTGGCATGGCAGCTAAACACCGGAAGGGTGTTACAGCTGAGCGATATACCCCTTCAAACTCCAAATCACACTACTCGCTTCTCTTTATGAACTGATTAGCACGAAGTCATTCTTCTCCTTTGTCCAACTTCTAGATTGGTTCCCTTTTTTCCTCATCGAGCAGTCAAATGTTGGACTTCTTCACTTCTCTCCGCATTCTCCCTTATGTCGTCCAATTTCTCTTAATTTTTACGTTGCATCTGAACAAGCCACATCAGCTGTGTCGCCTTTATACTCCTCAGTCCTTTGTTGTCACTTCCACATTGTGTCTCTGGTTACGAGTTTTCGATTCCGCTGGAGCTCACTTTTGTCTAATAAAAAATTTCTCCACGGTGATTAAACTGGGTTCTGGAGGTCTTCGTTGTATAGGCACTTTCAGACACTCTTGACCCTCTTTCTTTTGCGCTTCAGAGGTATTCAAGACCGCTTTCCGTCAGATTTCTTAAGTTCTGATGTCAGGAAAGATCGAATAGTTAGTGGGTCGTACAGTGAGAATCCCTCTCCACTTGCTGCATACGTTAAGCGATCTTGCCCTTTAAACGGGCTGTCCGTTTAGCACTGCTGTTCAAGAGGGGATTACGGAAGCCATTCTGAATTAACAATGGCTCAATGTTCAACTCGTTCCCTCGGCTCCCTATGCACACCGTCACCATTCCTTCATTTAATGTGCTTTGCGCATGCAGTAACGTCAATGCAACTAAAGTTGAACACATCCTGTCTAACTTTGGCACTTTATTCTNTTTCTGTAAACGCCCCCCCCCCCCCCAAAAAAAAAAAAAGTTTCTCGCTTACTGATACAGCAGTGTTCCTCGTCAGACATGATTGAGGGTGAAGCCCCCAAATAGTATCCGTCCGTGACAGAGCTTACAAGAACTTTGAACCCTTCGGTTTTCGTCCATCGATCAATCAAAAATCTGGGCTCAAATTTCAAATATACCTAGTCAACTCCATCCGCGCTAGGTTATATCGACCATCTCTTCACACTCCGTTAGGTGTTGGAGCAACACCGTATGTGCAGACGACCCAGGGTCATGGTGTTGCTCTAATTCAAGGATACGATCGATTCTGTCGATCGGCCATCTCATTTAGCCACACTTTCTCAGAATGAGATGATCGTACTCCGGTAGCCATATTCACATACATGGAAGTGTGTGTGACTTCCTCACAAAAAATAATGCCCGGCAAGGATGCCCACTCCCTCCATCCTTGTTTAGCCTCGACTCAAGGACCCGAATCGCGTTTTGCTCATTTGCGCCACTTGTGGGGTCTAAAAGGCATACCACTGGACCTCAGGGGTTGCGTGTACCATACTGCATTAGGAGGATCCTAAGGGTTTCGATCACCGGTTTCTTGAAAGCTTTGCTGGTGCCGGATAGCGTCATCAGATTTGTAACTGGAAAACAGGTTCTTCGTTGTGCTCGAGGTAGCTGAATGGTTAACGCGCAAACTTACTGACCGTAAAGTTTGTGGTTATAACCCGGCCTTTTCATCTCGATCGCTCTTATCTAGACTTAGGCAACCTGGCAGTATTCCAGCTCTCGTGCTTCCTCCGGGTGACAGCACCGAAATGGCGCTACAGCTGTAAGATTACTATTATTACTGTTACTGTAATCCTGTGTATCAGGCGCTTTAGTGGCTGAGAAAATCCAGCACCATCAATTGTTGTGGTTCGGCCACGTAGTACGCATATCGAAACATCCTCTACCTAGAATAATGTTCTCCGTCGCTCTTTCATGTTGGCGCAAACTACGAGTTGGACAGCGTAGATTTGACAAAGTTTTATTAAAAAGATCAAGGAGAGTTTAGGTGTTGTTGGTGCGGTCCGCCTTCTAGAATAAGGTCCCCGTGACCCACCCTGCACCTGACTGGAAACACCGTAAGAAATCTTAGCTAATCGATGTCAGTCGCTTCTCTGCTTTCAGTCTGTTTCCATTTTGTCCGGATGATCTCTTTGAGGTGTAGGTGCCTGATAGTGTTTATGATAAGCCTTCACCAGGTCGCTGCCTCATCCAATTTTCTCCATTTTTTTATTCAAAGATTTTACAGACAATTAAATAAACTCTGTAGTTGTACGACAGTGCCAACATTGATTTTGTTTCTGATTATGATGAATGTTTGTATTGTCTGTAACTTCTCCCCCCAACTGTTCTGCCTTTTTCACAGATTTGTACATATCGGCCAATGTTGTTGTGAGTTGATTGCTTTTCGAGATGAAGCAGTATCATATGATTGAGGGCTTATTCATATGCCTCTTATTCTTCAAATGTGGCGCGTCCGAGGAGACTCATAATTATCCCGGAATTGCTCACAATTGCCATCGCGGCGAGAGCCGTTTAGCCCGCGCTATTCTGAACGAGGTGAGCTAGTCACTGTTTCTCTTCACATCGACCTATAGGTTTTCTTCCCACTGTACGACTTTCATCACGTGCCGGTACCAAATGAGTGCCCTTGGAACCCGCACCTAGATCTTTACAACTTGCAGGAATTGATGAAGACACAGAATTCCGCCCGGGACTGGCAATGTAATCAGTGCTGGAAGCGGTTTTATTCCGAACATGCATTAGACTTGCACATGGACAATCGACATCGTTCCACTGTATACACAGGCCCAAATGCCACCTGTTTGGCTCTCTTCTGTCCCCTTCTCCGTTGTGACGTGCTGCACCCCGATTTGGCTTTCGGCGATCAAGTTTTCTGGGACGAGGCATTGTGTACGGAGTCCCGGTTTGAGGGTCTGCGAGTACAATGTGAGGTGAGCAAACGTACCTACCCTGTTTCTGTCATTTTATTTGTCCATTTATTCCACGTCACACTAATTTGCAGACAACTTATGTACACATGAACCTTCAGCCAGTATATGTTGCTTTCCTCTTATATTAGCGCCACTCTGTGTGGATATTCTAAAAAGGCATTAAGTTGTCGGAGAACCCCCGCCAAGGCGTGTCCGGTAATGTTTCTTGGCACAGTACCCCTATCCGCCGACCCGCTTTCCCACAACTCTTCCTGTTTATGGTACTTGTGAGAAGTGTGTTGTTTTGCCTTAGTCACCCTTTTTTAAAGCATTCGAATGCCTTCAGTGTGAACCTTCTCCATTCGTACTAATCACTCCAAGTTATTCAGAACCGAGTACCCTTGTGCACGTAAGCTGTCACTTTCAGTGGAATCCTGGTTTTTTAATTATTAGGATCAACTCTGATCCACATCGCCTAGTCTTGGGGTTTATCAGCCCAATAGTACTGTTCGCTTCACTGCTACACGTATGTGTACGCGCATTATTACGCCCACCGCTTCTTTTAGATAAAACTTGGTCTCATAAAAATTTTGTTTTTGACCAGTCCATTTAAAAAATCCGTACAAATTGCCGGCACTTTGTGTCGCGACAAAGTTGCGTGAATGATAAGGTTGTCGACTTTCTCGGCTCCAAGCTAACATATCAAAAGTGCTTTCAGACAAAAAGCATGGGTACATATTCCCAAAATAAGGGATTTCAAAGCCACCGGACATCTAATTTCTGTGTTACTTCGGAAGATCGTCAAAATCCATTATGCCTTGCCAGGGTCCTCAAAACGGACCTTTTCTGTTGATTCTGTGTTGAAAAGCAGTTCCATTTAACTGACCCTAAGATAAAACACCTTGAATACTCAATCAGTTAAAGTATAGACAAGGTTATCTATCCCATATCGTTGAAACGACTCTCTCCAGTATGCCCACCCCAAATTCAGAAGCCCGTTGCATTCGAGCAGACCGTTTTCGTAGAATTTGACGAAACTAATGAGCGTCCTTCAGCGTTGGTCCATTGGATCTGGGTAGCCCAACTGTTGACATCACGAACTTCCGCTCTCAGCTTCCAATGCCTGCACCGGCGGCTTCAGATTTGACTTCCGGTCCCCTTCTAGTCTACGCATACCATTGGTAAAAGCTCTAGAAAGATATCTCGGCGTTCTATTTTTGTAGTTCAGTGCGTTAATCCTACACTGATTTTCCCGCTGAAAAGGGCGTTCCAAACGTTCTATCGATGCCTCTGTCTTATGATACCTCCAGCTCTAGTCCAACGTTCGAAATCGTAGTTTTCTCCCTTTTGTGCCGTTTTACTTATCGAAACGAACAACTTTAGCTTTCCTTGAGCTGGTATTCATACGGTCCTCTCCCTTGTGGTGGGACAATGGTCATCCGTGTCGTTTCATTACCAAGCAGAGTTTCCGATTTTGTCGGACGGCCTTGTCTGGATTATTTTTTAGTTGTATTGTGGTTTTGAAAAGATTTTGCGCGATCCGTTGCGTTTTGACGCAATCTTTGGCGAGTTTTTGAGCTGGTCATGGTGCGGCACTTGCGTGTAGCTCGGTAGTCTTGTTTTAGTGCCCTTTCTGCGCACTAAACGATGTTTGACTGGTGAACTTGTGGACCAAACTCTTATACACTGGAAGGAAATAGCGACTACTTGGTCTCACGCACTCAGGTCCTATTGTACGATCATCTTCAAAGTGCCTTCACTCACCTTCCCCAAATCCTACTGTTTTTCTGAAGACGACATTCCATCAACTTTCCAGTTTTTTTTCCGTGTGTCATGATGTTTATTCCTATGTCATTCCCTTTCCGTCGTCGGTCAGCAAATACTGGAACAGTGTGGTGCTGGCAAGCATAATGGACACTCAGGTTTAAGACGTGAGTTTCACCTTGCCTCCTTGTTTGAAACCATTATCTTCTTCGGAGTACAGCTTTTCTCATTGCTCAAATTGTTCCTGTGTAGAATACTCCTCAGGAAATACCCTTGGGAAGCATGCTTCTTCTCAGTTTGACGTGCAGTTTACTGGGATGTCCGACTCGAAACAAGGCTACAAACTTCGTGGCAAACACTCATTTGCAAGTTAACTTGGCGTTGACGGGAGACAGCCTAATTTTACTCGAATATCTTGTTTGTGCTAGTGTCCAGATTTTTCATCCACTGTAAAAGCTTTATCTGGTGACCGCTATAGACTGTGCACTAAATTGACGAGCCAACAGATGTGTTGTCAGTACATAACGGGATTATCGAGTTATGGATGTATTCTCCTCTAATTCCCAAGTGCTGGCCTTCTTTATATGAGCCATCTTCTTGAAGTTTGGCCACTATTATGTTTCTTGTTATCCTTCTTGGGTTCAACTGGAAACCATACCAGACGTTGGCTTACAGCCTATGCGTGCACAGTCTGTCAACCGTTTAGATGCGCGACATACGGTCGTGTTTTTCTCAGCGAGAGACAAGTAATCAGGCAAATCACCAAAGCCAAATGATGTGATTTGATTCTGCCACATACCAACGATCGCCTATGGGGTTTTGGCTTGCTTTGTGAGCCGCAGAAAACTATTCGGGGTCTCAGGCAGAACGCCCAACCACCAGAAGTTCGGTTGTTTCGTTTCCCTCCTAATGCTACCCCGTGGAGCTCACTTGCAGAGAAAATTTTTCCTAACGTAGATAATTCATGCGTTGAGAAGCACTAACTCGTAAAGTTGTAGAGTTATAGGAGTTTCACAGAGTAGAAAAATCAAGAATCACCAACACTCTTAGGAGTGCTTCTTAGATGAAGTTTTCCTAGACAGCAGTGCTGTGTAACCATAGGTCTTGACTCAGTCTTCTCATTTTTACCGCGTACATGTTGTGCAGGGGTTAAAGCCGCCAGCGATGACGAGATGACCCAAGTGGTTGGAGCGCGAATTTACTCACCGGAAGACCAGTAGTTCGAACCTGACCTCTGCCTCTCGACTTTCCCTGTCTAGGTTTGGGAAACCTGGCAATATCCCAGCCCTCGTGCTTCCTTCGGGTGGCTTCGGGCAGTTAGGCACCGAGAAGGTGCTACAACTGAACAGTTGAACGTGTGCTTGCTAAAGAGGGAGGACTATAAACTATCACACCCTCACGACTGGCTTCAATGTTTTAGGATAGATCACTGAGCACAAGATAAGTTGGGATAGGTTGTCTTTCCAAGTATCTTGCAAGCATTCTCAAAATTACATCGTTTTCTTCAAGGTATCACGTAGAAACGTTATCTTTTGTCCTTACTTTGTAGGTTCTCTTCAGACTGCAATTTGCGATCACTTAAACTGTTCAAAGTACTGGGAAATTCCCGACCATCGAGTAAGTCGTTTCAACCAAACCAGTGGGATGAGCAGTTTGTATTGCGAAAAACAAAGCGAGTCTTTGTCTCTCCACCCTGTAATTAGAATGGCAAAATAAAGATTACGTGTTTTCAAGTTGGATATCTTCCTCGTCGTCGCCATCGACAGAATGTTTTCAAGTTGGATATTTTCCTCGTCGTCCCATCGACAGAACAACATCAGTGTCCAACACTGATGGTTTGCTGCCGTACTACCATAATTTATTTGAAGAATTTATTCCCTGTTAAGAAAACAGGAAAAGCTGACGGGGAACGGACTAGCCTAGCACCATCATTCCGAGGTGTCTACACTTCCAGACACTCATTCAAGCAATCTGGATGGAAACTGACAAAAACGCCGTTGACGTCGGTTAGCAGCCATTTCTTGAAGCATGTCCAACCAAGCACAGAAGGGATCACGCGGACCCTATCCTGGTAGGCGAGTCCCACCAACCGTACCCAGAGTTTTCCAAATGGATTTTATATCCCTCCACAGATTGGTATGCATTCCATCTGAACAATGGGGCGAGATGGCCGAAGTGGTTAGAGCGCGAGTTTACTAACCTGAAGGTCCGTGGTTCGAATCCGACCTCCGCCACTCGATTTCCCCTGTCTAGGCTTGGGCAACCTGGCAGTATCCCAGCCCTCGTGCTCCCCTCGGGTGGCATGGCGGCTAGGCGCCGGAAGGGTGCTACAGCTGAACGCTTTTTCCATCTGAACAAAAACATCGAACAGAGTGATATTCAAAGCCAAAATCATTATTTTAATTGCAGAATTGTCTGTAATTTTCCGCTTCCCAACTAATGAATGCTTCGTTCCTTTCTCTCCTTGTCCCAGTCCTCCACTCCGACCGAGTCCCACGTCCTACTGATATTCCTCGCAATCACCGGCGTCATCATCTATTACGTCACCGTATTGATGCGAATCAGGTTGGTTGGTTGTGTTTTTCCCAGTTGCTTTGTTACGATTCTCCAAACGCCGCATTCCGCACCCCATCTATCCACGTTGTCAGCTTTCGTTTTAATTTTAAGGGGGGGAGGACTTCCCTAACACTTTGCTGACTTCAGCGTTTAAACGATGGTCTGATGTGTAAGTACTAGTGGATAAACTTTGGTGAAACAACTACTAAGAATTATCCACTGAAGAAGTCATTGCTTCCAATTATAAATCCTGGTGAAAATTTTGCTGAGGACGGGCTATGACACAGCTAAACTGATGATGGTGGGACCTTTGCGTCCCACCACCTTGGGTCCACGTGGCTCATCTTGGGCGTGGCCACAGACCTTACAGGATGTGGCCAGTTTCAAGGATGATGTCACTTCACAACCGGACTACCCAGCTACACTTTGTCGTTATGCCTTGGGTTCGTGTGTGGTAAGATTCGCAAACGATTTCTCTGGTGAAGTATTATTCTAATACGAGTGGCGAGATGACCCAATTGGTTAGAGCGCGAATTTACCGACCGGAAGGTCCGTGGTTCGAACCTCTGTCCAGGCTTGGTCAACCTGGCAGTATCCCAGCCCTCGTGCTTCCTCCGGGTGGCACGGCAGCTAGGCACCGAGAGGGTGCTACAGCTGAACGATTCTAATACGACGCTCGGATGTTTCCATTTCAATACTATTTGAAATACATTCATCTGTTCACGGGAGGATCAGCTGAATCCAAGCCGAATCTCTCGTCTATGAGACTCATCAACTAATATTGTATTTCTTTCAAGCTAACTGCACTCATCTGACGTCAGTCAAAGTGGTTTTGTGCTGTTATCTTAACCTCCAAGCCTAGAGTCATACTGTTAAAGTTCGTTACTCGTACTCTGTGTATTGAGGGACAATAAGTCATTTTCTCCTAGCAATGCGCGGGATGACTCTGGTTGGAGCGTGAATTCGCTGACTGGAAGGTCTATGGTTCGAACCCGACCTCTGCCTCTCAACTTCCCCTGTCTAGGCTTGGGTAACCTGGCAATAGCCCGGCTCTCGTGCTTCCTTCGAGTGGCGTGGCAGTTAGGCACCGAAAGGGTGCTACAGCTGAACGATTTCGATTTCTGTGCGCTGAGTGAAAACGGGACAAGTGTCCAGGCCACACCCTGGCTGAAAAACATTAGTTCTCAACCTCTTGAGATCGACAGCAGTTTTTCCCACCATGACTGAGAACTTCTGGACGTACACAATCATGTTCAGACTCAATGATGCCTGAAATCAGTTGCTCTCTCCGGAAATCAACTCTCGGAGAGAACTACGTAGGTAGTGCGCCAAAGTGACAGATGTGACCCAATGAGCCTCTCTATTGACTTTACTGTATGGTCATCCGTTCCCGCGTCAATAAGACATGCTCTCAATCAATGCCATATCGCCACTGAAGTTGCACCGCAAAATCTATCTCTAATGCTCAGTTCTCTCCCACAAATCTACTCTTCATGGGATATCAGAACTGTGACAATTTCTGTACGGTTTACTGTTGACGTTCAACTTTCCCCATGTTACAGCGGTCAACCATACTCAATACCAGCTTCCAGTCTTTCCTCACCTTACTATTTTGAGGCATTGAAGGCCACAATGCAGTCTCGCGAAAGGAGTACTCACACACAACGGCACTCGGCTTCACGATTCCGACGTCGATGACCGGGTCAATAAGCACAGACTTTCAAAGCACTTTTAGCTGTGATCCTAAAAAATATGCAGTGTATCTAAGCTCTTTTGTACAGAACACGGTACCATCTTTTCTTCTTCGGTTGACTTTTTGGCCTTTCTTGGGGGGCGGGGAGGTGGTTATGGAATAAATAAATGAAGGCAAGAAAAACTACTAGCCGCAGACTCCAGATTTAGAATCTTTTCACTGATCGGAGATGTTGTCTTCCGATGATTTACCAGTATTTTCTTGCCTAATCGTGATTGTTAGTCTGTCAATAATGGTAAGTCGATAGAATTTCTCCTGCAGACTTTTGCATTGTGTTTACGCCGCCTTAGCTCTGTAGGCATCACGGAAGTTCACCAGTCTCAATGGAGGCACTAGGTTCCAACAGGGAACGCCACACCAATATGACATGTGGGAACAAGAGATTACGCGAAGGTATTGGTGTTCAGTTCGCGTCGGTAGATCTGTGCAAAAACTCTCGGATATTCAGAGTTAATACACCCCCTTGGATATTGTTGAGAGAAATTCACAAATTTGTCTAACAAGATAACTTTTCAGATCCGTTCCTGTCTTTGGACGCGAAGTTCACTGCGTCCGTCACAAAGTTTACTGAAAAGACATAAATAAGCCACTTAAACGAGTGTAGGTTGCAAAAATTCCTTGATGACAGATAACAAGTAGCTACTTATGGGACGATGGCAGAAGTGAGTAGCATCTGTTTATAGTTTGAAACGTCACTCCCGCAAGTAACCGACGGTCGATCTGGAAATGTTTTATTCCAATGTATCCTTTTGTTGATATCAGACTTCAAAAAACGTCCATTAGGGTTAAAAATACATCTCGTCCCTATATCCACCGTGTTTCGTGCGTGTAATAATTCCACGCCTAACCGGTTTCTAACTCACACCAACCGTACGACTTACCGACCGTTCACTTGTTTCCTGGTACACCCAAGCCCGAATAACGAAAACGGTTGATATCCAGTGCTTGAGCGGACATGGTATCTCCGTAGCACAGGACAGACTTCGCGCACTGTTTTAACGTGTGGAGATCACGATAAAGACTCTCATTTGCATACCAATTTGATTTTGACGGGAGACTTACCTGAGATGCAGCTGAATCTCCTGTTTATGATGTACCTAAACACCTGAATGTGTTGCACCGGGCCGCCTCATGTTTCAGCTGATACGATATTCGAGATATCGCGATGGATTGTAAGACGATCCAACAGATGAAGCAAATGAGTGTATATTCGCTAATTTCATGCAATTTGGTCTCAAGTAGAACGTAAGGTTAACAGAAACTCGGGGACTGCGTCTACCTGATGAGCCTTAGGAAGGGCGAAACCCGTCGTGGGCTGTCGAGGAGCTTTCAGCAGCCCTATGAGTAGTGCATTACAAAAACAAAAAGAGTTTTTGTGGACCATGCAGCGGCAGTGATGTTTGAAGACATCGTTCAATGATGTTCGCGTCCATCATCTAAGCTGCTTTAACTCTACCACACTGTTCGATATATCCGCACCTTAGAGACCTGCGCAAGACTTCCGCAATGGCAGAATAAGAAAGTTACCATAATTTTGACCAGTATTTCAATTTGCACCCGAATTTGGTTTCGTCAGGCGGACCCACCTGAATCCCTACTAGATCTCCCATAATTTTGACCAGTATTTCAATTTGCACCCGAATTTGGTTTCGTCAGGCGGACCCACCTGAATCCCTACTAGAACTCCCGTTTACGATATTCTTCAAGTAGACCATATGGTTGACGGAAACTCGGGTCTGCGCCTACCTGATGAGCTCCAAAAAGGGTGGAACCACTCGTGGACTGTCGAAAAGCTCCCCGCAACCTTATGTTTAGTGCAACACAACACGGTATATCATGTTTTGTCTGTGTAGTTTTGGCATCTGTAGACTGCATTTACTTTAAACTACTGTATTGAACTCAGTAGTTCAATAGACGCGAACACATTTTGAGCTGTACACTGCCTGTCGTCCCAAATGCCCACCTCGTTTTGAACCTGAGTTAGTTTGTTGTTCATAGCTCCTGGTGGCATATGGCCTTTGAAACCTTCGGGGAATTTCAAGGAATTCGCTTTCAGAATGTCTTTAGGGTATAATCCGTATTTCGTACCACCATATGGATGCGCAGCTCCTCGGTCAGCTGATGCACCGTTGCGATACTCCCACTCTGCACCGTGAGAAAATCTTTTGTCTGTGGTTCCGAAATCGCATTGTAAACCTCCCTTCCCAAAAGCGTATGCCGGACACCTCCACTCCCCTCCTCTGTCATTAGTGGGTGTGTGTATTAACTAACAGTCCTGAGGCCTGCTAGTTATCGTGTGAAGCAAGCGATTCTCCCTTAGGCGATATCATCGTTGAAC